CTCCCTCCCGCAAGGGCTCCGTGGCCTTCAGCCCCGAGGTGGAAACGGCGAAGCCCAAACTCCCGTCCAACATGTGAGTCCTGTTGGCGGCCGCACGGGCAGGAGGGAGCCGGGAGAAGCAGAGCATCAGCCCCGCCGGCTCGGAGGGAAAATGAGGTGAGAGGCGGCAGCCGGGGCCATGGAGGGGCTGTTTCAGGCACGGGGACACGGCAGGGATGGGCGTGGGGACAGCTGGATGAGGAGGGGGCTCTGCTGACTGCCTCTCCTTGCTCATCACCGTCTGTGAGTTCTGCCCTCCTGCCGGAGGCATAGGACAGGTCAGATTGCCCAAACTCTGGCCTCTCTGGGGAGCTCAGCTCCCCAAAACTGCCCCTCGGGGGCTGGGCCCCCCACGCTCTGTGCCGTGTGTCCCACAGCCTGTCCTCGGGGCCAGGCTGACGCTGGCAGCTCCTCCAGCTTGTCCTCTGTCACAGCAGGGGCTGCCCGATGCCCACCTCGGTCCCCAGACTGTTCTGCCCAGCCCCTGCCCAGCCCCTTTGCCTTCAGGGAGAGGAGGCAGAGGCACCCCCTGGTTCCTCTGCCAGGGTGGAGGGAGGAGGCTGGAGCCCATGGCAGGGGCATGGGGGCCCAGGGGCAGCGCTCCCCCTTCCCAGAGTGCCAGGACCACCTGGGGGTCCTGGGCAGGGCTCCCCTGGTGTGACGAGTGCCAAGGGGCAGCGCTGGGGGGGGCAGAGGAGCAGCCCCCCAGTCCCTGTCCCCTGCTTGTGGGACCGTTTTGCCTCAGAGGTGCTGAGTGCCAGCGAGGTTGGGATGTGCTGCTGGGCAGGGCTCTGCCCCACACCCGGGCACTGCCCATCCACATGCCCCCATGGGGGCAGCCTGGGGGGATTCTGCTGCCTGCAGCTCCAGGAGGATGCTCAGAGGGTCAGTCCAAGGGATCCCTTTGTGGCCCTGGGATGATGTCCAGAAGATCATTTGGGATGACCCTCCTGTGGCTGCAGGAGGATGCTCAGAGGGTCAGTCCAAGGGGAACCCTTTGTGGCCCTGGGATGATGTCCAGAAGATCATTTGGGTGACCTTCCTGTGGCTCTAGGAGGATGCTCAGAGGGTCACTGCAGGGCCCCCACTGCCTGAGGCTCCAGGAGGATGCCCAGCCCGGGCTCTGCTGCCCTGCCCTGCCCTGCAGTCCCATTTCCAGGTGCCCCTGGAGATGCCACTCACCGGTGCCACAGGAGCTGTCACAAAGAGATGCCAATCCCTGGGTGACGTGTGGGGCTGTGGGGTCACCCCCCCATCCAACAGATGTCCCAAATCCCCCCTCCCCAGAGACAGTAGTGTGCAATGTGTGTGCGAGTCGTGGCTCTGCCAAGCAGCCGAGCTCTGCTTCCAGTGTCGCTTTGGGCCAGCCGTGTTCAGTCCTGGTTAGAGTAGTGTCCCCTCTGTCCCCACCGCGCTGCGCCAGCTGCTTCCCTCTCCCGGAGTCAGGAACCGTGGCTTGCCTTCGGGCGAGGTCTCGTTCCCCTCGGTAATTCCCGAAGTGAGAGATCCCGTTCTCCACCCTCGTGTTTTGGGGCGTGGGGAGCACTCCGGAGCGCGGGGCTGCTCCGGGAGCACCAGCCCAGCAGGAATCCCGGCAGGGGATGTCCTACACTGCCTTTTTTTCTCTCTCCATGGATTTCAATCCCCCTGCCCTGCTCACCCGCTCCATCCCCGCGCTCCGCCGGGCGGGGAAGCTGCAGCGGGGCCGCGCTGTCCCGAATCCCCCGGGCTGTGTTCACACTGCGTGATGTTGGATGTCTTAGCGCTCCTGGCACGGCCGCCCTGGGCACCTCGTGGCCCGGTGCCCACCCCGGGGGAGGCTGCAGGGGCTGGGGGCGCGAGTTTAGCCACCAAAGACCATGACCCTCCACTCTTGCACTCACGGCAGTCCATGTACAGAGCTTGTAGTTTTCATATTCGCAGAGAAATTTAAGAGCAGTTTTTTTATTTTTTGGTCGTTGTACATAATGGGTTTAAATAATAAAGAGAGATTCTGAGCTGGTCTGGGGGAGAATCTTTCTGCACCTCCTGCGATCCCGCAGCACCGTGCCCGGGGATGGGGCAGCACCCCAGCTCCAATCTTGGCTTTCTGCAGAGTCAAGAAACCCTCGGGAGGCACCGAGGGGCCTCTCCCGGCCCCACAGACCAGGCAGGAGCCCAAAGGCGAGATGTCCCCTCCCACCCACCCCTGTCCCTTTGGGCTCTGGGCAGATTAATGTTTAATCTTTGGTTATTTTCCCCTTCCATCTCCGGTCCCTTTACTGCGGGGGGGGGAAGGGC